AGGTGAAAGGCCAGCCAGTTCTTTCTTGATGGGATTGTACTTCCGTCACTACCACACTACCTTTTTTAATAATAAAATGTTAAAATTTAATAAATCCATGAAAGCATTAGGTCATATTAGGTATTTGGCTGGGGGTGGTTGGGAGCATGAATGGGGAGAGGGATGAGGAATACTTTACATAGAACCCTTTTTACATGTATTTTTACTGGACACAGTGAAAGTGTGTTGGGTGACTTGCATTATTTGGATGTGTCACATTCTTTAACTGCTAAATGTGGATAATGGTATACAACTTCCCTCCTACCTCATGGAATTATAAAGAAGCATACTACATGCCTAAGAAAGATAAGAAAATAAGTTAAGTACCATGTGGAAATGTGAGAGACAATATAGTATAAGAAAGATCTCTTCACTAAAAGTCAGAGGTGCTGGGATGGAAGCAAGCAGGGCTGTCCCTGGTACTCATGCAGAAAAATAGCTACTATGTTCAGAAAAGTTGGATGAAAAGAAAATCATTTTAAATGCATTAGGGTTCTAGCTATTTAAATTAGTCCTATGATTAGTCCTGTTACAAACCAAATGATTACTCCGATCAGATTTGAGTTTCCTATGACAGGCTTGTCTAAAACCAAGGATATTACACACTTAAAGTAGAAAATATTAACTTATTTGTATTTCAGAAGGTGAGTAGATACTACCAAAAAAAAAAAAAAATAAGCATGTTAACTGAAACCAAGTTTTACTCTGGATTCAAACCTACTGCCATTGAGTCAATATCAACTCATAGTGAACCTATAGGAGAGATAGAACTGCCCCATCGGGTTTCCAAGACCATAAATTTTTATGGAAGTAGACTGCATCATCTTTCTCCTTCAGAGGGGCTGGTAGGTTCAAACCACTGAATGTTTTAACTACTGTGCCACCAGAAGTCCTTTACTCCAGATTAGGGGTTGGCAAACTTTCTGTAAATTGTCAGATAGTTAATATTTATGAGCTCTGTGGGCCACATATAGGTCTCTGTTGCTTTTTTTTTTTTTTTTAATCTATAAAAATGTGAAAACCATTCTTGGCTCAAGGGCATTAAAAAATAGGCTCTAGACTGCTACCCCTGCTGTCAAATAAGCTCTGCTTAAACTTATTTTTAATTTGTACAAAATTTCAGAAATGGACAGAACGTAAAATTCTGCGTTGCATTTTAAACAAGAGAATGCCCTTTGAAGTCAGATTGGCTTGGGTTTGAATCCTACTTCCAACCTTTACCAGATCAGTCACTTGGGCAAGTTTTTCAACTAATGGGATGCTTAGCTTCCTTGTATATAGAATGAGATCAAAGCTATCTGGCTGGATTTAATGACATAATTTGTGAAGATTACTTTGCCCAGTTATTATTACATAATGGACCCTCAACAAATGTTAGTTTCTCTCCCCTCATATCTTTTTTGACATTTCCCAGCTTTTATTTTCTTTGAGTTATTCTAACAACATTTTAGGCTTTCTATTACTACTAAGTTATAAATAGACACTCTCACTTTGCCCTAATCTGAATCAAGTTAATTTTTCAACATTTTGATTACTTGAAACAGATTATTGACTTTATTTCCTTTTATGATAAATCTCTACTTCCAATTTCTTCAAAAATGCCCCAAAATCTGTATTTAAAATATTAAGGAGTCTGACTGCTAACCAGGATCTCTGGTAGTGTAGTGCCTAAGGCATTTGACTGCTAACCAGAAGGCTGGCAGTTCAAATCCACCAGCCACTCCTCAAAAGGAAGATTGGGCGATCTGTTTCTATAGTGATCGGAAACCCAAGGAGGGGGCTGTGAGTCATATCTGACTTGACAGCAGTGAAGACTGCTAACCAGGAGGTTGGTGGTTCAAACCCACCAGCCACTCTATGGAAACAAGACTGGGCAATCTACTTCCATAAAGATTTACCACCTCAGAAACCCAATTGGGGGTCACTATGAGTCGGAATCAACTTGATGGCAATAGGATTTTTTTTTTTTAATGGTAAAACATAAATGATAATTTTAGAGAATTTGTCCTCTCAGAATTTATAGACTGTTATAGAATTTATAAAAATATAAATATTCTGATCCATACAGAAAATAAAAACAAGAAAAAACAGTTACCTTCTGGTCAATTCTGATTCATGCCAGTGTGAAATGGTACAGAAATCAATCAATAAATAAATAAATAAAGTGGGATCTGATGGGTAATTGTTAATTTTGTTTGTTTGTTTACTAACTTTTGTAACTATTTGAATGCTACCTATAACTCTCCATTAGGACCACCAGGAGCATTTCTGTTGTTTAGATAATGCATACTATTGTTGCTCCAGATGGGGTGCTCTGATGGCATAGTGCCCAAGGCATTTGACTGTCAACCAGAAGGCTGGCGGTTCAAATCCACCAGCCACTCCTCAGAAGGAAGATAGGGCAATCTACTTCTGTAATGATACTGCCTGGGAAACCCAAGAAGGGTTCACTGTGAGTCAGATGTGACTCGATGGTGATGAGTTGTTTTATTATTATTATTATTATTATTATTATTATTATTATTATTATTACGTGAGAGGTGGTGATTGTTTTTCTTGAAGTCCTTGCTCCTCAAGCTTTTGACCATGCATGTTTTAAATTACTTTTAAGTCTAAAATATCCATTGACAAAAAAGTCAGCAAACAGTTAAGGTATATCTTTTTAACTATATTATTAACTTCTTACCTTTATACTAAACAAAAATCCTGCAGTGTCCTTCAAAATTTGAGCACCTAGGAGAATACTGATGCCTGCTGTCCAGAGATTGAAAGTGCAAAGGCTGTGAAGTCGGAACTGCAATAGAATCCAGGTTTCATTTTACTATACAAGTCACTTAGCCTCACTAAACTTCAGTTTTCTCATGAGTACAACAGGGGTAAGGGTACCTACCTCCTAGGATTTCTGTGAGGATGACATGAAACAAGAAACGTAAAGTACTTAATACACTGCCTATTGCAGAGTAGATACTCCTTAAATTTTAGATCTTATTCTTTGGCTATTGACTACACAAAAACTTCTTGATCACTCTTTAGTAAAATTGCAAAGTGTCCCAGTGTATTGAAACTATGATTCAGTTTGCTGAATTATTATTAATGTGTACATTTTCAGGATATCTGCTGTGCAAAGTGAAGCCCATCTATTTAGTGTTCAAAATAAATAAAGACAAAATTACATCGGAAACAGTGAAAGCAAGCGACTAATTATCTATCTGCTCCTGAAGTCTAGTTACTTAGGGCAGAGAGATCCATTTCCTCTGACGCCATACTGAGAAATGCATCTGTGGGAGAGAGACCAACCAGAAATATGTTTTCAAACACTCTAATAAGCTATTTTCTCCAGATGAAAATATCTGTGCTGGACTTCGAAATATCTCCTACTTAGGCTATCCTGAAACCAGAAACTTAAGCTAAAATTCAAATATTAGGTTTTCTTTTACTAGATACTAAATTTTAAGATGCAGATCATATTGTAATACCCTATCCTCATGAAGCTACTTCATGAATATTGCCAACCCAAAACCAAACGAGACTCACTGCCACTGAGTTGATTCCAACTCATATCCACCCCCACTGGGTTCCCAAAGTTGTAAATTTTAATAGAAGCAGACTGCCTCATCTTTCTTTCATGGAGCAGCTGGTGGGTTCGAATCACCACCGTTTTCGGTTGCAGTCAAATGACTTAACCACTACACCACCAGAGCTCCTTGCACTGTTGCTCAAATCCCTAAAATTTTAAAGACAGATACGGGAAAGAGTACTTCTTGACAGTTGACAACCACTTTCTTTGGGGGGAGGGGGCTATAGCGACGTGTAGTGGGAAACTACTATTTTCTAACTACATCTCAGAATAAATATCTAGTCAAAATAGTTCTCCATTCAGTGTATGCCATATCTGTATAACTACTACTCCCCCTTCTTTCTCTCTTCAAAAGTAATCTGAGAAAAAATCACTTGAATTGCTTTCTGACTTGTAACAATCTATATTCTGTTTGGAGACCCTGCTTGCAATTCTGACTGACTTACAAAGATAACAGTGATAATATGGATCAGTCTGAAAGGCCAAAAGTCACGCATTGATGTTCCGTTCTTAAATACAGACAGCATGATGGTGTTTTTGGTCTTTTTTTTTTTTTTAAGAGTCATTGCCTTTTACTGTCTATTCACTTTTTTATACTTCTTGTTAGTGGAGACTCCTATAACATTAGGATTATGTTTTTAGAATGTTAGCTCTCATTTGTCCCTCCCTGCTTGCAACAGTTTTATCTTGCAGGGAGGAGTTAGAAGACAAGGCAGAGCTTCATAAGCTGTTGTTGTTGTTGTTACGTGCCATCGAGTCGGCCCCGACTCATAGCGACCCCTCCTTGG